CGTCGACGACGCGGTGGAGCAATCTGACGTTGTTGATGCGGTCATCGTGAAAACTAAACGCAACATAGAACATTATAAAATTGATGTGTTTTGGTATGGTCAAGCCACCTCTCACTGCTCACCGCTGTGTTAAAAAGCTGTTCTTACCTTCTGGTTTTGATTTCGTTGTTGAGGGTAGGTGACGACCTGGATTTGTGTTCAGTGTCGTTTTCGGATTGGTTGTCGATGGCACGTCGGAGGGCTGTGACTTTGTCGGCGGCGCTGTGGTGAAGACTAAACATTACACAGAATGTTATAGAATTAGTGCGTTTTTTAATGCATTTTTGCATATTTTGCAAATACAAGAACGCATATTGTGACGACTTCGATATGTGTGTGTGTTTCCATTCGTTTGTGTGTAAGTGTTATGCGTCGGTTTGTTCGGGTATTTCAGCCCGGCAACTAAGCAAGCTTGGGCGCCAAAATTTTGTCAGTGCGTTCCCCGACCAAATACTGTTCCAGGGCTACGGTATCAACCCTCGTGCTCGTCTAGGCTTGACGTGGAAGCGTGCGAAATCTTTGGCGAGAAAGTTCGCAAATTCGGGAGCCTGACTGGCCAGGAAGCTGAAACTTTGAAGGGATATTCCTCGCTTACTTAGAACTCAAAAATTTCAAATTCATCCCGCAACAGCGCGTTGCCCTCATGTACGGGCCGTGAGAATTTTTGGGCGAAAGTTGCTAAATCAGAAACCAGAAAAGCTGGAAGACTGAAATTTTAACAGAAATGTTCCCTATCCAGGTACCACGTAGTTGTACAGTTAACTTCCTGAAGTTGGTATGCCATAAATTTTAGCTACTGGGATTCCAAGCGCTCTTACTTCTGCACGAAATACTGCAAAAACAGACGATCGCATGGGCTCGTCTGATATGCGTCGCCAATGATTTTTTGACGGTAAGTGTACTCTATCATTGCTTGTCGTTACGTTTGAAAACTGTTATCACCACGTGGTTTTTGGTTTCGTCGTCGAGGATATGCGACGAGCCGCAGTCGTGGTCAGTTCATGTGAATCTGTCGTTTCCGAAATGGTTGTCAATGGGCGTCGAAAGGGTCTGACTTTGTCGATGCAGTCACCGTAAAGACTAAATGTAATACAGGATTTTATGAGATTAGCGCTTTTTCATGTTGCTTGTCACTACATTTGGAAACTGTTGTCACCATGTGGCTTTGGTTTCGCCGACGAGGGCATGCGACTATCCACAGTCGTGGGCAGCTCACGTGACTCTGTAGTTTCCGGACTGGCTGTTGATGGTACGACGGACAAGTCTGACGTTCCCAATACAATCGCTGTGAAGACTGTAGTGTTGTAGAATTAATGCGTCTTACAAAAACCCAGGCTGGAACGCACCAGGCGAGCCGGAGCGATCATGCGTTTTTGCACTATTTCGTGCTGTA